TCACGGTCTCAGCCGCGCTCGTCATCCTCGAGGCGCCTGTCAACCCCGCCGTGTCGACGTACTCGAACGCCATGTGGCTCACCGTCGTGACGATGGCGACCGTCGGATACGGCGATCGCGTGCCGATGACAATTCCCGGCCAAGTGCTCATGGTGCTGGGCGCGATGGCCACGGGTATTCTCTTCGCGGGCATTCTTGTAGGATCATGTCTCGCATCGTCCTTGGTACAACAGTGGCGGCTGTAGAGCGCGTCGTTCTTCGCACTTCTGGACCTTACGGAGCGCGACCGCAGCGTCTTCAACCTCCTCAGCAACGAGAAGGAAGCCAAGGCGACGAGCCTGGCCGCCGCGCGGCTCATCCAGGCGGCTTGGAACCACTACCAGTGCCGCCGCCGCGAGGCCACGCCCGTCGGTGTTGCCAACGCCGGTACACCCCTCGCAGTATCAGTGCACAGCAACTTTATGTTGAATAGCGTCGGTGCTGCTCTATGCGGCCGCGCAGACGGCGCGGAAGCTCCGCAAGTCCAAGAAACTCAGCGTCCCGTCCCTCACCGACCAGCTACGCGACGAGTTTGCCGGACTGCACGCATTGGCCATGGCGGACCACGAGGCCCGCTGCCAGCGTCTCGAGGCGATGGAAGCCGACCTCGATGCGAGCCTCGCCCGCGCCCACGCCCTCGTGTCAGCGTAAGACGACTCCGTCTTGCATCATGCGTAAGATCAATCAATACAACCATAGTATATGCGACAAAACACCACAGTTTCCTGTGCTACTTGGATACGGTCGGGAAGCTCACACGTCGTGACCGCCGCAGGTCGTCGTCTTCGGGCGTACAACTAAAAAAGTGGACAGTTGCACAAGCAGACAACTAGGACATTTGAAGTACCCTGTTGTCGTCGTCGGCAGCGCGAGACGTCGGAACCCAAGGCCTACACTGCGCGGGGGCACCGTTGGGGCTTTCTTGAGCACCCGTCCGAGCGGTTCGCTATGGTTGTTGTCACTGGCACTTGTCTCGGCGACCTTGGTGGGCCGCGGTATGGGTGTCTCGGAGCGGCTGCGAGGTTTCCCGTCCTTCTTGAGCGGTAGGGGCATCGTTGCGTGCTTGAGTAATTTGAGTTCCTTCTTGAGGCTCTCGCTGGGCTTGGGCAGCAGCGGCGGTTTGGCTTTGGCTTTGATCGACTCTTTTCGCTTGGTCGCGACGGCGCTAATAATGGGCGGGACGGGTGTCGGTAGCAAACTGGCGTGAGTTCGCAGCTTGGTTGCCTTCTTGGCTTTCACCGACTTGGTTTTTTTCAGCGGTTTTTTTACTTTGGAGCGCGTCAAATGCAGTGGCATCGTGCTCCACAGAACGTCTTTGTCGGCGTACTGGGAGGCAATGTAAGCGTAGAGGGACGGGTGCGGCGTCGACGCTTGCTGCACCCACTCGAGCAGCGGCGACCGGTCCATCGGCGCGGGCACGGCAAACTCCAAGAGCGATTGGCCCACGAGGAGCCCGAGATCCAAGAGGTGACGAATGTTAAAGTGCATCTGGGCGAGCACGCCAAAGTCTGCGCCGCAGAAAGACGCCTCGAGGGTGAAGCTGTTGGCGACACCGAGGTCGCGCCCGACAACGACACGCGCTGTAGCTTCGCGCCCGCGGTTGACTTGAAAGCTGCACGCCTCGTGCGAGACATAGCGGTGCGCGCTGTTGGCCAAGAGCCGCGGAAAGTACCGCGCGATCGGATTCGGATGCTTCTTCGAGTCGCAGCCGTACATGAAGACGTTCATTTTGCGCGAATGGCCGTGAAAGTCACAGTAAAAGACGACCGAGAGCGACTCGATGAGCGCTTTCGCATGAAAGATCGTCGGGTGGTCGGTCGCGTTGGGCGACTTCCACTGCCGATTGAGGTCGCAGCCCGAGAGCCCACATCGGTTGTTGCCATAGTAGACGCCGTCCGGGTTGAGTACTGGAATGACCTATTTCCAATGTGAGATGCCACCGTCAGAGATTTCGCAGTTGTACGTGAAACACAAAGAGGCGCCGAAGGAGCTTGGCTTCGACCGCGTCCGAGACGAGAAAATCGAGGGTTCCGCGCATGACCCAGCTCGCTTGCGGCTCGCCAGGATGCACCCGCGCAGTGAGCACGACATCGAGGCGCTCGTCGCTCGGGTAGCTAAAGTCGGTGATCCGAAGCAGGTCGCAGTCGAGCTTGCCCTGCGT